TGCCGCATCCCCCCCCCCCCCCCCCCCGCCTCTCCCCCTCCGCTCCCCTGCACAGTTGGGGAAGCCCATGGCAGCAAAGCCAGTGATGACGAGCTCCATGTTGCCCACAGTGATGACCCTGAACAGCAGAATGGTGTTGATGGCCTTCACCACCTGTAGAATCATAGAAATCATAGAAACAGAGAATCACAGGGATGCCAGAGCCCATCCCCCCCCCCCCCCCCCCCGCCTCTCCCCCTCCGCTCCCCTGCACAGTTGGGGAAGCCCATGGCAGCAAAGCCAGTGATGACGAGCTCCATGTTGCCCACAGTGATGACCCTGAACAGCAGAATGGTGTTGATGGCCTTCACCACCTGTAGAATCATAGAAATCATAGAAACAGAGAATCACAGGGATGCCAGAGCCCTTCGGAGGTCACCAAGCCCTTCCTCCCCCCTCCCCAACCACACCAGGAGCCACCCCCTATGTAGCCCACCCCCCCAGCAGAACTGTGTGAGGGTGACACTGGAGAACCGCCTGGGGATGGGGGCTTCCCAGCACTTTGCCTTTCCTTAAGGTTCTCCTTTCCAGCACTTCACCCCTCCCCCTCTTGGGACTGCAGCCCGAAAGCACCATACCTGCATGATTAGGGCCCCGACGGTCTAAAACCCAAACCCCCTTCCTGCAGCAGGAGCAACCCCAACTACCCCATCCCCAGTAGAGCTTTGTGAAGCCGGGACTGAAAAACCTTTGGGAATGGAGATTCCACCCCCGTCCCTAGACACTCCATTCCAGTAGTTCACCATCCTCCTAGGACAATAGCAAGAGAGTCACACTTGCAAAGCATGGCCCTGACGGTCCATCCCCCCACACTAAACTGGTTCCCCACAGAGTGGTAGCTCTCTGCTATAGCAAGCTTCCAGAGGGTGATGGCAACACACTTTTGGAGGGGGATGGCACATTGCATTCAGGTGTCCTGTCACCGGAGGGCAGGGCGAGACACTCACAGAGCTCCAGGAAGGTGTCCTTCTGCAAGTGGAAAATCTGGAGCCATTTCTGGTTGTCCCACCACTCCATGACAATGTGGTCCCACCAGTTGGAACTGGTGCCCCGGCATCAGAAGTGGCAGTGCACAATGTACAGAGGAAGCTGGAAGGGACTGTGGGGCACAAGGAGCACCTGGGCTAGAGTGAGGAGGTGCCCCATTCTGAGCTGGTTGTTGTGGTCCTGTAGTGCCATGAGGGCAGCCTGCATAGAATGCAGCAGGAGTTGCAGCATGAAGTCTAACAGCCGGTGAGTGCTTTGCAGCGGGTCTGGCTCCATGGTGAGAGAGTTGTGGCATCCACAAGGGCAACCAGAACACATGGTGAGAGTTTGCTGTCCCTTGAGGAGGTAGGCAATAGAGAAGAGTTGGAGACACAGGTGTACAAGGGAGCCCCTTTAAGCACGAATCTCAGATAGCCTCAGGAAGCAGCTACAGGAAATGACTGCTATCCTGATGCCCTGCCAGGAGTGCTTCTCAGGGGCTCTAAATGTGATTCAGCCTCCAATCAGTGTGGATGCACTATTTCAATATAAATCTGTGCTATTTCGATGGGGATTTTTAATGTGGATGTGCTATTTCGAAATAGCTATTTCAGGAGTTATTATTTCAAATAAGCGCATAGTGTAGACATAGCCTCACAGACTACAACTACATCCATAAGGGATTCCTAACTACATTTGCATATTTTCCATTGACAGATCAGCACATCTTCCATTCAATATCTAATGGTTGGCAAACTTCAGGGCTGTACTCACTGCATGAACTGGATTGCACTGGTCTATTGGGCTCTTGAAGTCTGTCCTTAGCTCATCAAAGGCGATTATCTGCAAAAGAATTTTTTTAAACATTATAATGACAGCAATGAATCCAGGCTTTTTTCTTTATTAGTAGTTATAATATTTAGTTTTACTAACTTTAGTTAAATTCATGCCAAATGTAACTAATGATTTTGGCCTTTTATGTTTTATATATGTAAGCAGGGTCTGAAACCACTGTTTTCAATGCAGCCAGCTGAAGGGGGAGAGCAGCCCTGGGTGTGGTTATGCTCACTCAATTGTTTAGCCCTGCAAGATAATTAACTGTTGATATGTAAATACAACTCATGCTGGAATGGGGAAGGAATCAGGGGTGTGGTTATGTAAATTCAGTTCAGCCAGTGCTATAGGCTTGATGGATGGTCAATTGTTGGAATGGAATGTTGTGTATAGTAACTAATTTTGCTGTAGTAGGGTCACAAACCATGTTAACCCTAAATGTAGGAATTGTAAAATATGATCACCAGTGCTTTCAGGAGAGTTACTGTCATTCCAAAGAGTCTCAGATGGACAAGCCTCCCCCTTCCAGATTCAAGTGGACTGAGTTGGGGGGGAACTTGAGCCAGCCAGCTACATACCCTCCAGGTATGAGCTGTAAGACTGGTTTAACCTATCTCCTTTCCCGCCTGTTCTAAGGATAGACCTAAAACAGATTCCATAAGGAGTCTCTTTGTTATTCCAGTAGAAGCGGGAATCTTTTGGCCAGCCTAGGTGGTGGTAGCTAAGAGCTGAAGTCACTAGTTTGGCCTGGAGCCAGACCCATTGTGATCGGCAGGAGTGACCGGTGGGGGGCCAGAAGGGCGGCTGGTGGGAGCGACTGGCAGGCAAACTAGGAAAGCTATTTCGAAATAATAGGCTTGTTTAAAAGACACAGAATAGCTATTTTGGGATACTAGAAGTATCCCAAAATAGTGCCACAATGTAGATGTACCCAAAGTTATTTAAGTCACAAAAACCTCTGTACAGTGATAAAACATGCTATAACAGGACATCGGTATTGAAATTAATTCATTTCTCCAGAGACAAATGCAAATCAATCAGAATCCTAACATTGAGAGTTTTGGAAAATGGTGTTGTATTAAAATAAGGAAAAGTCTAAAGGCATCTTGATTTAATTGGGATTAGGGGATTATTTTACTAATTTGAACATTAAGGAGTTAACCATGAAATCAAATTAGAAATGAAAAAGACCTCTTAAGTCACTTAAATCATATACCCACACATCTCACTTTAGCCAGAAAAAGTTTGATCCATAAAGGAAGGATTCTCAAATTTTAATGCAGTGTAGACTAGAGTAGGTCAACATTTTTCCATTATTTTCTTTATTTAGTTTCCTTACAGCTTTTTCAAATAATAGGAATATTTTAATGAATAAAGAGTTTTGTTCACAATTTTCCATTTTTTATATAAAAAGTTTTCATTCTGAATTTTAAAAACTGGTTTAGTTTTCAAAAATAGATAGTTTTGTTTGCCTACCACCTTTCTTTCTCCTCTCCCCTATCTTTTATTTACCACTAGACAAGTGGAATATAGGAGAAAGGTAGGAACCAAACAATGTCCTCCTCATCCCTCGGAAGACAAAAATTGAAAATGGTAATTGTTTTTATTTTTGAAAACTGAAATAAAACATTTTTATTCACTGAAAAGTCTATGAAAATATTTGAAAAAAACAAACACTTTGTTTCCTAAATTTTTCAGGGACTATATACTTTTTAAAAAACAGCTACTTTGCTGAGAGACTGGCTCACTTTCCACCTAGTCACAAAGGTTCAGAACCAAGCAAGGCACAGAGTCCCAAAGTCTAGAAGCCCAGGGTCTTGGTGTGGATGGCCTTTTGCCTGCAATGACACTACCAGGAAGAATGAAAACCTGCATGTCAGCACCTTTGAAACACAAGCCTAGGAATTTATACTCATAACTTTGTTAGACACTAAAAATCATGGACTTAATAAAGAAACTGGGTTTATCATTATAATAACCTATAACCCATTAAATCTCATGTGTCCTAAGTTTGCAAAAGCATTACATGCCCATTTCACCTAAAGTGGTCTCTTACAAAATCTTAGGCTAAACAATTAGTTCCACCTTGTGTTTAGCTGCGACCCCATGAGTACCTTTCCCACTAGGGATGTAAGCGACTAGTCGAGTACTCAACTACCTGATAAGGCTAAGTTTATTGGGTAGTCGAGTTGAGTACTCGGCCCCTCATTTGTCCCTCCACTTGCAGCCTCTCTATGAGAGGCAGCAATGGGTGGGGAGGAAACAGGAGCCGGTGCTGGGGGAATTCGGCTTAAAAGCCGGTTCCCCCCAGCACTGTCTCCAGGGTGCTGCTTGCCCACACCCCTCCCCCATGCTGCCACCTCTATTAGAGGCAGCAGTGGGAGCGAAGGGGAGGGGAGGCTGCTCCAGCAGCAGCCCCTGTTTGCAGCAACTTGGGCTGGCTGTGGACGGGGCAGCTACCGAGCAGCCTCTGCCCACTGCCAGCCTGGGCCACCGCGAACAGGGGCTGCTGGACCCAGTATGAGCTGGGGCCAAACAATCCCAGCTTGCACTGATCCAGTACTGCTGTGCCTCTGCATTTTAAATGTAATAAGAGCTGGCAGCTTTCACTGGGTCTGTGAGCTACCCCCACTGTGGCTCTGCATTTTAAAATGCAGAGCTGCAACTGTCCTGGCTCTGTCCTAATTCCTCCTACATTTAAACTGCCGAGCTACAGTGGGGGTAGCTCCTGGAGCCAGGACACAGCACGTTCCCTTATCGACCAATCGTGTAGTCAATACAAATTGTATTGACTACACAGGAGCGGCCCGAGACAGGCTATGGCAGCTGGTGCCCCAGGCGGAAGGCGCGATCAGCACCCCCACCTGCACAGCCGTCAATGGGCCGTCAGTGAGGTGACATCATCATCGGGCGCCTCGCGCGCCCCGTGATATCATCATTGGGCGCCGTCAAAGGTGGCACCCAGGGCCGCCCCTGTGACTACACAATTAGTCAGCTACCTACCTCTTAACATCCTTATTTCCCACACCTGAAGAACAATATGTAAGCACAAAAACATGTTCCTCTCACCCCCAGATATTGGTCCAGAAACAGATATTACCTCAAACACATGTGTGGCAGGTCTCAGAGGCACAGGGAGGCTGAGCCCCCCCAAAAAGCCTAGTGAGGCCTGCCCACATTCTGCCCCAGGTTCCCTCCTATTGCTGCCAGGCCTCCTTCCACTCCAGGGCCAGGAAGGCTGGGACCATGTTGCCCATCTTCCTCATGCTCCAGGGCTGGGAAGGCTGGGGCTGCACTGCTCAGTGCCCCCAGCATTCCAGGGGCAGGGGTTCTGGCTCCCCAGTGCATCAGGACCGAGGTGCTGGGGCCATACTGACCAGCACTTCATGACCAGGGAGGTGCTGGGGCTGTGTTGCCTACCCCTCTGACACTCAGGGGGGCACTAGCCTCAGGCAGGGGTTAGCAGCCACATGGGGCTGGGCTCTGGTGGACATGGAAGGGGCAGGGCCTCAGGCAGAAGTTTACCCACTGCCCATTCTCTCCCACCTTGTCTCTCTAAAAGTGTAATACGCAGTGCCATCGATACTTACAGAATTATCTCCTCCACCTCATCTAAGGACCTAAAATAATCTTTTTTTTCAGAAATCACTAGTCACTAAGCTAAATCCCTGGAGAGGTTCTGAAAATGTAGTTTGATCTTCCATGGATGAGCAATTTCTGCACACTGATAAATATGAATTCTGTGCACAGCTTGATAGAGAATAAAGACCGTTGGATATTTGTTCAGTGACTTCTGTGAAATAAGCTAGAGGTGTAGTTACTAGTTGATTGGTGTCCACATCACAAAACAAAAGCTCCTAACCCCCCTCATAGTCGGTAATATTTAAATCCTTTCACTAGGGCTATGTCTAAACTGTAGAGCTTTTCCGGGATACCATAGGTATCCTGGAAAAGCTCTGCCACGTCTAAGGAACACGTCTGCTTTTTCAGAACAGTTACCCAAAAAGTAGACATGTTCTTTCAGCATCCCTGTATTCCTCTTGGTGAGAGGAATAAGGGAAGTTCCAAAACAGGAGGTTTTTCCAAAGTTTGGCCCTATGTAGATGGGCCAAATTTCAGAAAAGCCTCTTTCAGAAAAAAAGTGGAAAAAGATATCATTTTCTGATTTTTCTCAGCAGTATAGACATAGCCTACGATGAGAGTGAATAGGCACGAAAACTAAACTATCCTCTCACTCCTAAAAGAGATCTTCAAGGTCTGAATTGAGTAATATTGGTTGGGCACAGCATGGCAGGAAGCCCGTACTGTCATTGCCCATCCTGTACTTGCTCTGTGGATAAAAGAAAAGGTAAGTATTGGTACTACCTATGGAGTGTTTATAGAGGTCCTCATTCTCCACAGTTACTTGACAGGACCACAACGTGTTGCAGGAAGAAGCTTAATAAAGGTAGGAACTTCCAGGTTAGGGGATTCTTTAATTGCTGCTTAAAGCATGGCTCTTTGTGTTTATGACCTCATTCTAAACTATGCATCTAACAAAATAGAATAAAAGTTCCCTTGATTTATAAATATACTAGCCACACTCTGTGATGACTTTCTCTCCATGTAAGGTCTTTAACACCAACTGTAAGTCAGGACAGAATTTTCCCCAATTTAAATATTCTAATGCTGCATAGTTTACAGATTCTGTGCTGGCATTACCTGTTTCAGAGCAGCAACAATTTGGAAGATATTTATAGATGTGCCTGAATTCCCACCACCACCCACATGCACATTTCTCCAGACAATGACAGCTTTGAATACACAGAAGCATTCGCTGATTTTCATTCTTCATCTATTTCTTTAGACATCAATCTAACTGAAAATGTCACCTGGCAGCAGCAGGAAGGAATCCAGATCTCTTGTGTTTTAGGGAAGCCATTCTAATTTTTGACCACTGAACCCTCACAAGCATATGTTTGACTTGAGGGCAGGCATTTGCCTTTTCGTTATTAAACTGAGCATGACTAATTTCTGAGTAGGACATCTGTTGAGAATGTTCTTTAAGGTGAATTTGTTGCTGGTGAAAGGTGCTGCATTGATAACTCTTGGGCTTGAAGGTTATAATTCAAAGGCACCTTAGAAAAGTCTAAAAATAAAACACTGAGATGACAAATCTATTAATCCACAGACCAGGGACAGTAGATAGCAGCGATGTGTACTTCTGGGTGATCCCAATGTGCCACAGCCCTGACCTAATTAGTGTTAGTGCCAAATTAGTGCTAAATAACGTGGTGAACATCTGTCCATGCTGAACTATTTTGAGAACAACGCAGAACAGGTAATGGTCACCAGCAGGCTCACTGATGTCCAGTTTTTTGTAAGTGCCATGGTAAATAAGAGTTTTAAGGAGTCATCTGGAGGACATAAAGATAGCTTTGTGGACCTTTATGGGGAATGCCTCACTAATGTGAGGGCCAGGATGGGAGAAAACATAAAAGGTACTCATTTGAAAACTTAACAAGTGGTGATGGAGCCAGGTATCACTAGCCAATCAGCGGCAGGTGTTGACATCTCAATAGTGAAAGAGTCAAAGTGAAAAGCTAGGAAGATAATATTTGCAGCAGCACTGGGCACAGAAACGAGTGGGACAAGATTGCATTCATCAAGGCCAGAGAAAAGGATGTTGCAGTAACTGAGATGTGAGATGATGAAAGACATGAGATGAGGAGGGGACATTTAGCTGCATGTAAGGCTTGAACTCAGCTCTCATCAAACTACAATGTGGGACCCTGAACCAAGGCAATTGTCCAGCCAGTGAGGTCTCCACAACAATCTGCCTCTAGTTTCCATCTTTAGGATACTTTAAGATCTCCACACTCTCTCTCATGGCTAACACACTTCCTATCCACCCCACCCTATCCCCCCATGTGGGGCTCGTTAAATAACAGAACTGTCCATGAGGTCCTCAAAATAAAGTCCATCACCACACCACCAAAGTTCATACTCACCTCTGGATCTTCCCTATTCTGAGAGAGAAGACGGCAAATATATTGCCTTCCTTCAAAGCGCTCCTCCTCACTGGCTAGCAGAAAAAGGAAGCTTATCCAGTCTCCTTCATTACAGACCCTTATTGGGACAGTCTCCTGCGGGTTTTTTTCTCCACCCACTACTAATGCCTTGGAATGCTTCCTCATCTCTGACTTTGGCCATTTCTTGACCCTTTGTTCATACCAGTATTCCTGCACAGGGTTCACTAGTCCCTCTCTAGACTTAAGAGGCCAGTATATTTTGTTGCAAACCTGAACTGACCTAACAATGTAGTTTTAAAATGGTGTAAACTCTACCCTGACATCTGGTGGTGAACTGTGGCAAGTGGTGCAAAGAGACTTCAGGGGCTGACCTCAATTTGCATAGACACACCCACCCGGTCTAGTATTTACTCAGCCTGGCAGAAAGTTTACAATGGCATAACATTGATACTGGCCAAAAAAAGTTCTTGATATAAACTCTCTTCCACTGAATGCTAACAACTTCCATTTAAGTCTTTACTCAGAGATTCATGTGTGTATCTCAGTGTAGTTTCTCCCAAAGATGTTTGATAACTAATTGCAGGTGCAGGCAAGAGATGAGCTGCAGCTGGGATGTAAACTGAAAAAAATGTTTTGCCCAGCAACAGGAGTTTAGGTTTCACTGTCTCTTTTTCAACTGCCTCATAACATTGCTAATATCTTTAGCAATATTGCTAAATGTTTGGTATCTAGTGAGCCTGAACTCAGAAGCTGACTGGTAAATATAGGAAGAACTAGTTTTTAGCTCTTGTTTCAAATGATATTTAAGGCCCTCCATGTTGGTTGGTTAATTTTTCCTGGAAATTTATTAGTGTTTATTACAACAAAAACAGGTGAAAACTGGTGGAAAATACTAATAATTTTTCTTGATAAATATAAAGGTTTCTTTTGGTGGACAGAAGGACAGGAAAAAAATATTTAGTAGATTAGTGCTTTGATTAAATGGAATTCAATATGGTTTGCTGCAAAACTCAACAGAACTCAAAACACCTCTGGCTACGTCTAGACTGGCATGATTTTCCGCAAAAACTTGCCAGTCTAGACGCAGCCCTCTGAGTTTAAGAAAACAATACATCCCTAATCCCCAAATAAACTTTTCATTTTAATAAACAATTCACAACTATTAGTTTATAAATATTTACATTTAATAATTGGGCCACAACATTTGCAGTGTACATACTCAACTTCATCCTTTTTTCTTGTTTTTGTATTTTTTAACTTTTGAATACTTCCTTGTGGTCTGAAGTGTATTCTGATACAGATTTTTGGTTTCTTCCCATTTTAGTGTTTCAGCTCTTTAAAAACTGTTACCCACTAACAGCTTGAAATGTATGTGATAAGCATGCAATTCATCAGTATGTTCTTATGTGCATGTTCTTCTTTACTGTGTGCATGCCTGTTTCTTTACTGTGTGTATCTTCTAGATTTACTTCTACAGGCAACTTTGCATATACACACAGACCAATGCATTATCATGCCATGTATTGTATTTTCTTAATAAAACAAGTTATTTTTAAATTTAAAAAAAAAATTCCAGAAAAAACACTTTAAACTGAAAACAAAAGGGGATTAATTATACTGTAACCAATTCATGACCTTCTAGAATCTTTGTTCTCAATGTGCTGCATACTGCAACCACTAAGAGCTTCTAGGTAATAGAACTCAGATCCTTCTACTCCAAAACACAGATCCACACCCCCTCACAAAGAGCAGCTGTACCACAAGCTGCTTAGAAATTCCTTAGAAATTTAAAATTGCAGTTTAGAGAAAACAAGATCATAACAATTATATAACAAAAGTCACTTCCTGAAGCACAGCCAGACAGGCTTGAAGATACTGGCTGACTCACTGTTCCAGTTACCCAGAGCTGGACAGAGGCTATCTCGTCAGCATCAATTCTCAAATCATCACGTTTCTCCAGGCCACGGGCCAAAGTTAGCTGCTACTGTTTAGGAGACATTTAAAAGAAAAAAAAATACACTAAAAACCGAGAGTATTATTGGAGAGGGTCACAAAATATGCAGAAGGAGGCCCAAGCAACAAAGTTTAACTCTAGATCTGAACTTTTGCCCATTTCTGAAAATAATTAGACCAGTAAAACTCTGCAAGTATCACTCCCTAAAGAGGAAATTGTTCCTCTATCTTCTCTGAACATTAGGTAGGCATCCAGGATTGTAATCACTTCCTTTCCTAGCGCTTATTATGGGAATCTAGTTTTCAGTCTGGGGCTGATAAGATTTCAGGATTGTTTTGCTACAAACTGCAGTGCAATTCCATTTTCAGCTTCACGAATCTAATTCTATGACACAATGGAACAGCAGAAAACTGTTTACAAAGGTTACACTCCTAAATACAGCAAACTTAGAATCAAGCTTTCAATTGTACTGGAAGTCTGGTATTAAATTATGTTGATTTACCTACCTATACTACTGCACTTTATAAATTAGAAGCACTTTACAGACATTAGTTAATCCTCATAGCAGCTCTCTGAGATAACCACTTTATGGGGAATGGGGAGGGGACTCAGAGAAATTCAGTGACTTGCCCACACTACACAAGAAATCCATACCAGAGCCACTATTAGAACACAGGTGCGCCTGACTTCTAGCCTGCTGCTCAAGTCCCTGGGTTATGTTGCATTCCAAGATAACAGAACAACAATTGAGGGCAGTTTTTACCCAGATTTCTATCTTCCTGGGCATCAGAGTTGTACACACTGTCGTAAAGTGATGGTCTTTAATCTATGCAATGTGTGCCAAATTCTGCATGCAGTTGCACCTCAGTGGGGAACCCGAAGTGCTTTATAGTATGGATCAGTAATGTTCCCTATCTTTCGGGTGGGACACAGCAGCTGTCTAGCAGCAAATAGACACAGTGTGTAAACAGTTTACAGCAGGAAGTGAAGAATAGCCTATCCAATTGAAACCACAGGGAGTGAAGGATTTAGGTTGGCAGATTGTAAAATTACCAGATTTTCAATTTGACCAAAACACAAAATCAAAACCCCATACATCCCATGAGATTTCTTAATGACCTCAAGTGGTCTAACCTTTAGTTTTATGACTCGCACAAAAAGATAACAGTATCCAGCAGCAGCAACCCCTAGCAACCACTGGCAATAATCCCTTAACTAACGCTAGCAGTAAGTGCATTTTCTCTGTGAGCCAGGTACTAGACATCAACATTCCCACACACAAAGCCAGTGCGTTAACATCACTGCATGAGAGTGAGGATTAATAACAGGCCCACGCAGTGCTAGAACTAAATCTCCACTTCAAACTTTATTTCATAAAAGAATTAACTCTTGGTGTTTCAAGGTAGGTTCCATTGGCTTTCTCTTCTGAAAGCTACGGTCACGCAGCCTGGATTGGCTCATGAGTAAGGCTAAGATTTAGCCACTGGTATTTTTAGTAAAAGTCACGGACAGGTCACGAACAATAAAAAAAAAAATCATGGCCCCAACTTGTCTGTGACTTTTACTATAAATACTTCTGACTAAATCTTAGCTACTCCTAGGGTGCTGCTGTCAGGAGTTTTTAGGGCACTGCTGCTTGGGAGGTCCTGGGTGCCCATGGCTGGTCTCTGCTCTTGTGGTGGGGGCTGATTGCCTCCGGCCACCCCCAGTCCCTGAGGCCACTTTACTCACCCCCACTGGTCAGGCAGCCCTAGGATCACCTACATAGGCCATTGCAGAAGTCACAACATCTGTGAGTTCCACAACTTCTGTGACAGATTCTCAGCCTTAATTATGACCCTGGGTACTTACTACAACCAACTAACAAGTGTAAACTCCTCAGGCATTGTAACAACCTTAAAAGGGAGAAGCAGAGAGTCCCCTTGGGTACTTCAGTGTATCTTGCCACTTCGGTAAGCCTGCCTCTCACAGATGGTCACTTATACCAAAAATCACAATATTCAGATTACTCCTGGTCTCAAAGACCCCGTCATTTACCCCAGATCAACTATATTCATTTCACAAACTAAAGACAACTAGACCCCTGCAAATTTGCTAATATCTGCTCTATATCTGCAGATCATTTTTATTGATTACACATCGGAAGCAAATCTTGTATCCACACCAGGCTCTAAAGATAACACTTTTAATTAATCTGTACTTTGTTAAACGATTGGCTAACTAGGAAAGAGAAATGAGAGCTAGTGACAAGTTTGAAGCAGGTAAACATACACACACATATGAGATACAATCTTAAGCTCTGAAAGAGAAGAGTAGCTGCAATAATATGCAAGCTCTGTGGCTATGTCTAGACTGCAGGCTTCTTTCGAAAGAGGCTCTTTCGAAAGCATCTTTCGAAAGAGCCTCTTTCGAAAGATCGCGTCTAGACTGCAGGCGGATCTTTCAAAAGAGAAATCCGCTTTTTCGAAAGAGAGCACCCAGCGAGTCTGGATGCTCTCTTTCGAAGACGGCCTCTTTACATTGAAGAACGCCTTCTTTCGAAAGAGGAACTTTCGAAAGAAGGCGTTCTTCCTCGTGAAATGAGGTTTACCGCCATCGAAAGAAAAGCCGCGTTCTTTCGAAATAATTTCGAAAGAACGCGGCTTGAGTCTGGACGCAGGGGAAGTTTTTTCGGGAAAAGGCTACTTTTCCCGAAAAAACCCCTGAGTCTGGACACGGCCTGTGTGTCCTTCAGATCTAACCCAAGCTAAACAGCTGGAGATTCATAACTTATGCTTAGAAATCTTTGGCCCTCAGAGTTCAAGCAGCATAGGGATAACAGTTTCTCCTTAACAGGATTTTTTTTTTACCCTTCCTGCAACATTCAAGCTTTGATGGAACAAGGGCTTTTGCATTTATCCTCTTCCAATGTGTGCAGAAAGCAATCAGCAAAGTCTTTTGACCACAGTAGCTTGTCTGATATCTGTAAACCTTCCTTTGCTGGGCAGGAGAAAACTCCTCTTACGGTAAATTAGCATTTCATATTTGACAATGCTTCTCCCAACTGTAGGCAATGTACATTCTTAGCAAATATGTTTATAGTTACAAAGCAAACATTTAAACCCTACATGAGTTACAACATGAGATACAGATACAATTAGTAGGATTAACACATGCATCATCCTATCAACATTCCATAATGCCAAAACATTAAGCACATTCTTATAACTCCAACAACCTATTTTAACAATGCTAACACACAAGTGAACCAGAATGGTTTCCAGCTAAGCCTTTGTCAATGTCTGCTGAGGCTTGGGGCCTTGGCATGAGTCAGCCAGCATCACTGCCTACCAATGAAAACAAAAGCAAATCAGCCTCCTTTTAAAAAAAACAAAACCAATCAAACCTTAAATTCCTCACCTCTCTATCAAATTCTGCTGCACTAATCTCATGCATCGACTTTGTCATGTCATTATTAATCTTACCCCACCAAGATTTAGG